TTGGCTTAGACCCCGGTACTCGCCTTGGGCTCCACTCAACCAGTGTGTCTCTGTTGACACACTTTTGAAGCATCGCTCCCCTCACCATTGAGGGTTATTGTGAGCATGGTGCTTTCTTTCGAGCGTTTGAATTCTCTCCCTTTCTGAGGAGTTGGATTCCTCGCTCCGTGGGCTGTTCTCGTGGTAGTGTTTAGCAGTGCTCCCCTTTATCAAAGGGTTGCCTATGAGCATGCTACTCCTTTCTGAATTTGGAGTTCTCCTCTTATGTGAGAGTTGAGTTCTCTGTTTTTCCCAGAGCACCTGGAACCAGCAGCATCAGGCGAACTAGGCCCTTCCTCTGCCTCTCTGATGCGCTGAGTTTTTTGGCTAGCTTGCAGTACACTTATCCCTCTGTTTCTAACGATCGTGCTGTAGGTCGAGCCCCCTCTTGTTCAGAGCTGGGTGTTGTGCTCCCTCAGCTAAGGTAACTTACTGCTAGCCGTTCCAGCATTGGAACATGCTGTAGGTCGAGCCCCCTCTCATTCAGAGCTGGGTGTTGTGCTCCCTCAGCTAAGTAAATTACTGCTAGCTGTTCCAGCATTGGAACTTGCTGCAGTTCGAGCCCCCCTCTCGACTAAGAATTGGGTGTGTTGCTCCCTCAGCTAAGTAACTGCTAGCTGTTCCACCTTTGGAACGGATGCACCATTTCCATCTATGGGCTGCTCTTTCAGAGTGCCACGAGGGCCCCTTAGAACGGTATTTTTACCGTCTAAGTCTTTGTACACTTTCTAAAATCCACACGGTGGTAAGTTCGCACGCTAGTACTCTGCATTCTTTCTAAAATCCTGTATGGTGAGGGCTTCGTGCGGCAGCTACGTGCCCTCTCTTGAGCTGGTTAAGCCCCGGTTCTGCCATGGGCACCACTCCACCTTGTATCCTCCGGATACCCACTACAGGCCACCGATGCGAGGCTAGTTTGCGGTCATATTGGGCTCCGTCTTTTTCGGAGAGGAGGGAGTGGAGTGACATTCTTACATCTCGAGCCTCAACAAGCAAAGATCCATCCTCCTCCACCCCTAAACCTAAAATAACCCTAACCTTTTCCATGTCTAATTTTACAATCAATGGAAATGTGGAGTTCAACATCCATTAAGTACACTAATAAAATAAAATTAAAAAAAAATAACTTTCAGCCAAAACTTTCAGCTAGACTTTTTGATTTTTTTCTCTCGTTTTTATCTAATTAAATGCATTTCATTAAACTTAATGTAGCACTGCTTTATTTATTTGTCTTTATTTTGAATGGGGAGAACTGATGTATTTGAAGAACTATTGTAGCCTAATAACTATTTATTATAATTCATTCAAATAAATTCAATTTTGCCACCCAACCGTGTCTGAATTACATTCAGGAGCACATAAGCTGTTGTCAACACTGCCCTTCGCCTGTATAAAATGCCTAAGCTTAAATTGCTACATTATATTTCTCAGCAGCGAAAGTAACACTATGGCGCAGGTAGGCTACTTCACACACACATCTCTTTCTCGCTCAACAGTTAATTCAAATAAATGCTATAATTAATTCAAATAAATGTAATCTTACTGCACTACTTAATATATTTGTCTGCTCTGTCTTATTTAAAGCGAGTAGAATGCTACATCTAACAAGTTGTAACTGACGAAAATAACCGTCATTTTTATCGTTCCGGTCAGATATTCCAGCGCAAACATTATTATCTTTAATATGTGAATGCTGGCAAATGACCATGGCATAAGCGGGATAATCAACGGCTAGCTGTGCATTAAACGATTTGAATGCACTTTGCGCGTCGGCTGCACGTCGGGTGGTTCTTCGCCTCCACATCGTGCATTCAAATCGTTTAATGCACAGCTAGCCGTTGATTATCCCTTACTTAAACACTAACAGATCTCCCACTATTATAATATTGAGCAAAAACACATGAAATAGCACTTCATTTTAAAATTGTTACTCTCCTTTAACAGTTAGGAGAAAAGCATGCTGGGAACTAGAAATCTGCTGTAAGTCATTCTGTGAATGTGTGTGTAAATGTATACATACATTCACATTTGGAACATGTATGTCCAATATATACTCAATAAAGGATCAAACTTTGTGAATATTAGATGTGTTTTTGTCTTCATTTCTAAATATATTTGTATGTATCAATATACAGACATTTTGTCAATGCATAGATAGATTGCTAAAGTATACATGTTGAAAAGTATAAGCACGGGTTTCCCAAATGTATTGTGTAATATATAGCATTATATTTTGCAGTATATTCCCATATATTTGTGTTACGTAAGGGATGAAAATTCCAGATGCCTGCACATGTGGCCAACACTTGTATAGTGTTACCACTCACACTTTCACTTTCACTTGGAAACTTTGGTAAAAATCGTTTTTTACTCTAAGACTCTTATTAACATAAGTTTGAATGCCCAAGTACATCGGATACAACAGCATTAAACAACATAGGACGCTGCAAGGTGGGAATATATAAAAAATATCTAAAACAAAAAATATTGTAAAATATGAACTTTTCCACGACATTCTAATTTATTGAGATGCACCTGTAACTTGTTGTTAAAACTTTGGAATATGTTACCAAATTTTAGCATTTAGCCTACTGCAGAGATAGCCTACAAATTAGTTTGTGCTACAATCTCTATGTACAATTAATCATTTTTAGTTTATTTTGTGCAGAAATCATTATTTATCTTTTTTTTTTTATTATTGACAGTTTGTGGATCAGTGTCCTTGGGGGACCAGCCAGTGGAGCTCCATCATAAAACAAAATAAGTGAGGTGAATGAAAATAGACATACAAATGGTTGAAATTGTTTACTCAGATATTAAAACATATTCAATAGACTTTGATCTCACGATTGAGATCATTGAGTGAGCATTGGTTTATATACCCCTCCATTATGACAGAGAGGATCAGATGGATAAAGATCCTCTCAAATTTAGTTTAGAACTTTAGTATATAGTTTTTGAACAGAAATGCAGTGCAAGCAGTCAATATTCTTGATAAAAATGAGGCTCAACCTTTTATTTGATTGTAAATCAAAGCTAGCTATGTAACATTAAAGATTGCATTTTGATGTAATAAATGCAGATTTAATTAATGCCCAGTCAAGACAAAGATGTTGGTAGATAAATGTGCTTGAGTGACCAGCTGGAGGTGACGTAATGAAAACAGACACACAAACTACAAATGAATTTGCTTGCTTTATTCAGACACTATAGCATGTTACATAGACTGAATGATGCTAAAACTTAAAGATTGCATTTTTCATGTCGTAAATGCAGATTTAGTTAAAGATAATTGTCAAGATGTAGTAAAAAAGTGAAATGTTTTTTTTATGCAAAACTGAATCAAGCAGTATTACAGTAAAATGATTTCAGTCATTTTCTATCGCACTGATGATCTTCTTTTCAGTACTTATTGGGAAGGCCTTTCGGTCTGTAGCGGTTGGGGTCACCGCCGTTACGTCCCCAGCGATTGGCTTCCTGCTCAGCTTCAGAGTCCACTTTACCTCGGCCCGAATCACCCAATCCCTGCAGAGCCTCTCTTGCATTACTGCACATATCAGAACAATAATTTAATTACATAACATAATATTCAAAATTCTCAAAAATAATGTAAACATCCATAATAGCACATTGAGCTGCTGTTGCATTATAGTGCAAGGGAGCAATCATTCCTGCTCAGTATAAATGCTCAAATTAATCTCTAAGGAATAAAATCATGTCAAATCAGACATACCTGATCACTTCGGCTGCCCATCTGCCTCCAGGGCCCCTGCTTGCAGCATCATAGTTCCCGCGTGCATGGAAATACTTGTCTGAGTTTTTCCAGTTGGCCTCCCTCATATCCTGGTAAGCACAAAACATATCCTTTGCACCTACAAAACACAGTGAAGTGGTTAAAATCTGCCTGCAAACTGACTCAACTGAGTGCATGACAAGAGTAAATGCAGATAAAAAGGAAAAATAAATGACCATCGATGGCTTGTCCTGGGTATTGGTGCCATTGTGCCTGGGTCTCGACCACCAAAACCAACACCAGCACAGCAAGAAGAAGCTTCATGATTACAGAGCTGAACATATAAAGATATAACAGTGAGCACATGGTAATATTAACCATGCCACAAACAGTAAAAGTTTAAAATCTCCATAGGTAAAGAATGATCTCTGTAGATCACAGAGAGATAAGAGTGCAGCTATAGATAAACCATCTATAACTTAACATGTTTGCATTAAGAAAGAGGTTGGATCAGTCAGTCTCTTACCTCTCAGGTTCGCTCAGTTCAGACACATCAGGGCCCGTATTCTTAAAGATTCTAAGAATCCTCTCAGAGAGCTCCTAATTTATAGGGATGGCTGACACGAAACTGACGTTTCGACACGGTGTCGAGATCCCGAAGCGCAGATGTTTCGAAACACTGCTCCGAAGTGTGATTCGAAACACCCATGTCACGTGACTAAGGCGAGTCAAAGCATCAGGGCGTTTCACAAGTGTTTCGAGACCCAAATCTGCTTTTGATCGACAGGGTCGGGAACAAACCACACAATCGCACATCTGTCTTAACCTAACTCCCGCAAAGTATAAAAGTATAAAAGTGGAATTAATGCAGCAGAACAATTAATATATTTAAATAAAAATAGTTATAGCCTATGTAAAAAATGCCAGGCGTTGTGGCTTGATATGTCTTTTATTCATAATTTAATAATTAATTTAATAAAAATGTATGCATTTAGCAGACGCTTTTATCCAAAGCGACTTACACTGCATTCAGGCTATACATTTTTTACCAGTATGTATTATGACAACATGCTAGTCATGCACACTACATCCACATGGTGGAATGATGAGCACAACATATATGTTATATAATTCGTCAATTCGCTTAACTGATTTGTTGTCAATGCGGCTTCAGAGCAATTGAAATTAACACAAAGAGTATGTTGCCATATGGCTACACCATGCGGTAGAGGGTTAAGTTTGTTTTGATTTATTAATTTACTTACAATAACAATTTAAAATGTATTAACTTTTACGTATTCACTTTTACATGTATTATTAACTGCATTATATGCATTTTTACTTCATAGAAAAAACTTTATAAATAAATATTTAGTAAAATTCTTAAATCGCTATGGGGGAGCCAGGCCCCCCTGGCCCCCCCACAAGCTACGCCCATGCCCCACATGTCTACGTCACGATGTGGGAAGAGTTGCATAACGCCGCCCAAATGTTCACGCAAAGAAAGAAGGCGTAACTTTTATTCTCGCTGTAGTA